GGAGTTTACTGGTGTGAGTCCAGAGAGGGTCCCATCAGTAACATGGTTAACCTGACAGTCACTGGTAAGCTGAGTGTGTGGAGTTAGTGTTGATGAAACCCTGTGTAAATGGATGAAATGCTGTAGTTTGTCTCTGTGTTGAGGTGGATCAGTGATCCTGCAGAGTCCTGTCCTCCCTGTGATGGAGGGAGATGACGTCACTCTGCTCTGTAAAACAAAGACCACTCCCTCCAACCTCCCAGCTGCTTTCTATAAAGATGGTGTCTTCATCAGAAAACAGCCTACAGGTCACATGACCATCCAGCATGTTTCCAGGTCTGATGAAGGCCTCTACAAGTGTGACATCAGCGGTCATGGAGAGTCTCCATCCAGCTGGATCACTGTCACAGGTGACACACTTAAACTGTGTTTGTGTATTCAGTATTCAAACATTCAGTGCATGAAAATAACTTTCTTTGGCTCATTTAGAAAAACCCACCACTGCAGCTCCACCTGCCTCCACCCCTCCACCTGGGTTACCTCCTCTACTTGCTGTGTTGGCCTTGGGATCAGTCTGTGTTTTGGTTCTGCTGGTGTTACTGGTTCTAGTGATGAGGGGATGTGTCTGCAGAAAACTTGAAGGTGAGACTCAAACTTCTGGTTTTTGCATGTGTGGCTTAATTGGTTTGTACATTTAAACAATTTATTATATATATATATTGTGTCTACATTGTACGTGCATGTTGTGACATTACAGCTCAAACACTATAGTGTGAATTCCCAACATTTATCATGTTTGGAATCTAAAGTGTTATTTTCACTACCTGAAAACATTCACTGCTTTCTCATCCTGTTTCATATGTAGGTGTGAATTATAGTAAATGCCTTTTTAACAACATATCCCTCATTTAGAAGAAACACATGGTTGCCGTTAGCAACTTACAAAATAAGTCAGTGGTTGTGTTATGAAGTGTTACTTTTATCATCATGAAATATTACTCTGTGACCTCAAGGTATGGTTAGGTACAAATACTTGCTGTGAATGTTACATTATTACAACGTATTATATTACAGCTTATCCTAATGTCCATTTTCACTTTGTTGTCTTTTGCAGTTCAGCCTGTTTTTATAGACTCTCCTAACTGCCCCTTCTTACTTTAGGATTATTCATTGTTTCAAACAGTTAAATATGTTTACTGAAAACTAAACCCTAAATTTAGAAGACACCTGTGCTACATGGTAGATTAGGGTTCTTCTAAATTGAAGGTTCTATTATAAAGTGCTAATATTATCATTTGATTCTTTAAATTACATTTATAAAGAAAGGCCCACTCTGAGTGTTTTTAAATCATGTTTTACTTTACTTTGGTTCAGCTGATCAAGAAGCTGGAGAAGATGACATCACAGATGACACCACGTACAGCGAAATCAAAATAGCACAAGAGCCTCAACAACCAGTGAGAGAGGCCACAGGTAGTATTGTTTTTGTTTGTCAACTTTTAGGGGATTTTATACCTTTGTGAGGAGCAATGCTTGTTTGAATAAATCTTGCACAAATCAGATGTGGTCATTGTGCACATCTGTCCTGAGGATAAGGTTAGTAACGCAGTAAAAACAGATCCTAAATGTTTGGTGCTCAGTGTGAGATTTTTGGATAAGTTAAGCAAACGAATGCATTATGTCAGCATGGGTGCTGCACAGGTCCCCATTTCATCTGCAGTATTCTACATATTGTAAAACATTAATCATAGGGAATGTCTACATATTTTAAAATACCAGAAATATCAAGGAAATCTTTAAAAAGAAAATAATGCTATAATAATGATTGAAGGTATTCAATCAAACTTTTTTTAAAAAGTTTCTTAGTTGTGTGTGGAGGGAATCGTGATAAAGTGAAACAAGGAAACCAGCATTTATTCATGTGAGGCCACAGAGGTCAGAGGTCACTATAATTCCTGAATCTGCACCTTAGATTGTCATGTGGGAGTATCAGGAGCTCTTCTGCTCTTAAACAATACAGATTTGTGTTGCAAAGGTTGAATTAAATTTCTAAAACTGTTTCATGTTGTTTGAATTGGGTGTCTTTGTGATCAGAGACACCATCAAAGCCAGAGGTCATCTACTCTTCAGTGAAGAAGTTCACCCGTCCAACCACTGATGAC